GAGCACGAGTTGGTGGAGAAGCGAGTYGTTGGCCAGAGTGATCGTTAATCAGCAATTGGCGAGACTCTCTGGAGGGAGGACGAGTTGGAGCTGCTTGGTATACGGTCCACCACATCCGACCCTCTACCCGAGAAAGGATTGGCGATTCGGACTTCCTACCTTCGTGATAGAGCAGACCTATGGGAGCGTGGATCGTTTGAGTAGAGCAGTAGACCACCCACTTTACGCGCTCTGGGAGGGCTTAGCGACCCGCTTCAAGGAAGTATACTACGCCATTTGTGTGAGGTGGGGGCCGCCCAGTAGAGAGACGCTTGACGACATCATAGACGTTACTAGCTGGGTGGACTGTCTGAGGCCAATCGATCTGATTAGGTACTGCAGGAGACGGGCAGAGATCGATTTCGCGGGGCTAGAGGATGTGAGATTTGTCTTCGAGGCCGCAGCTTAGGGAATGCCGGGAAGGACGGCCACGGTGATGCGTGTAGAAGAGCAACTGGTAAGCGCTGGATACACTGTGACAGTACTTCTCCGAGCGTACGTAGACGAGGACTTGACAGCGAGTGAGTGCAGACAACGAGCCAGGGATTTGGTCCACGAGCGTAGAGCTGATGTACTGGCGCGAGTGACCTTCCAGACCTCGATTTCCTATGATGTGATGATATGGTCTCATGGTTATATGCGTGCGGAGCACTACTACGATGAGACGGTAGCGGAGGCTAGAGCGAGGGTGAGAGGATGAGCTGGAAAAAGATGTGGACAAAGTATGGAAGAGGAGAGTGAGGCGGTCGGAAGAGTGAGAAAGCGCGTTAAAGAACCACTCTTGAACCAGGTAAAGAAGTTAAGGAACAAGTTAAGGGAGATCTGATCGTGCCAGGACGAGGGCAAGTTGCGTAGGGCTGAACTCATGACGAGAGAGTTAGACAATCTATTTAGGGAGGAAAGAGAGATTATCCAGGCCTGGAGATCAGACTTTCTGGAGAGGGTAAAGACTAGAAGCGTATCACGCGAAGGAACTAGTGAGCGATCTGCAGAGAGCGAGACAACGCAAGACAAACTAACGCAGGGAAGTAGCGACAGGACATGAGCGGGACTGCACTACACACGACGGATCGGTACTCATTATATGTGGTAGGGAGACTGGACGGACCATTAGTGTTAGTGATCATAGAACTCCAGCTCCATACCAGACTGTGCATAGTTGAGGAGGCAGAGTGTGTCCGCCGCGCTGCGTGAGGCTAGGGGAACAGGACTTTGGATTGGAATAGAAGGAGGACGGAGGATAAAATACGTACTCCAAGTGACACCTTTCGAAGGGCGGTGTCGGATAAGGGCATGGTACGAGACGACCAGAGAGGCTGAGAGGTTGAAGATAAGCGAAGCCAGGAAAGCTGGAGAGTTAGGGAGAGTTGTAACAGATCGTGCAATACTCAGGGTGTTAGCCGCTCACGACCGGTATTGGAAGGAATCGATAAAGACTTTAGAGGCGATAGATGATGGTGGAGATAAGGAGGACTTTGAGATATTTTATGACATATTGGAGCGGTCGGCGATGAGGTTACAAGTGGTTATAGCACTAACTTACCTCAGCTGTTAGACAGATGACCTTGTAGGCGTCTGGGAGATAAGGTAATGAAAATAGAAATTGGAAGCTCTTGGAAGGATAGTGGAAGCTAGAAAGGTCGATGCGCGACTTTGGATGGCAGTAGGAGGGCCTTTAGCGGGCTAACCGATTCAGGACAGGGCTAGGAGAACAAACAAGGAGGACGGGGAGAGACGCTCAGAGACTCTTGAGGGGTGTTGATCAGGAGACATTGGCTAGGTTTGGGATTGCGATCTGTCTCAAGGATAGAGGTCCTGTCATGGGTGTACTGCAGATCCGGAGAGGCACGGCCTTGTTGGCCGATCCCGAAGGAGAGGTTTACTTAGACACAGGGATTCTTGGGATAGAGGGAGGACACGAGATCTGCGACCGGAACGGGATACTGGAAGTGGTAATCAAGGTAGTCGAGAGCTAAGGTTGGAGGCGGACGCGAGCCGTGACAAGGAAACAGGTCCGGGCTGCCGCATCTGTCACATGTCCGGGCTGCAACGACTGTCATAGGGTCGAGCTGTAACAGTTGGCAAGAATACCTAACTGCGTCTTCTGGCGGTCCAATGGAACCTGACACGATGGGGCCACAACCGACCATGGGCGAAGTGGGAGAGGAGTACAGGATATCACCCGATCGAGCTTTGAGGGATCTGAAGGAACGAATTAGGCAAGAAGCACCGCTGAGATGGGCTGACCAAACCAATGACGGAGGGCCCGACGTAAGAGGTGAACCCGTTGCGACAGAGCCGCAGGAGGTTCTAAAGATGGGTACCTCGAGCGGACGACGAGAAGCGACGAGGCGACGCTCCCCCGAGTACGAGCGGAGGGACACACATAGCGGACAGGCACAGAGACGACTGGAGAGAGAGTTTTAGGGATTCCTATTGGAGGGACAGAGATAGAGACAGGGCGCCGCCCAGGCGAGTCTTCGACCCCCAGACAGGGGAGTCACATCCGCTCCCTTACGAGAGCAAGGATCGCTATATTATTACGCACAAGGCCTCAGAGCCTCCTACCTTCAGGGGCTATGGTATCACAGAATATCTGGAGAAGTGGGAGCTTCACGCCAACCGAAGTCAGTGGTCGGAGGAAGAGATTATAGAGAACTTCCTATTTAATGTGGACCCAAGTCTCAGTAGGGAAGTTAAGGAAGCTCGACCGAAGGATGGGAAATGGACTACGTAGAAGAAGAACCTCGTTGAGCTTTACAAATTGGAGGATAACAAGTATTCCATCAAGGACCTTGAAACAATGACTCAAGATGAAGATGAGAGCGTACGGCATTTGGGATGCGTTTCCAGAAGATCTCCGACGTGCTGATGAAGAAGGGGAAGATCTCAGAGGGCGAGCGCTGTACTATCTTCATCGGACACTTGTCCAAAGGTAGGCAAAAGAGTATACTTAGAGATCTTCCACGCGACAGGCTTGATTTCCCAAAAGTCCTAAAGCTCGCGATAAAGGCAGAGGCAGACGATTACAAGGACTTGGTGTGGAGAGAGTGAGGAGACGTGACTTCTCTCTCTACAAGGAGTATGCCACGGATAGATGTTCTGATTTCAAGGACTATCCCTGGTCGGAGAAAAATGAGGCCGTGGCTGAGGAAGTGAAGGAGATACGAGACATGGTGAAGGGATTGACGAGACAGGTTACAGAGATTGTAACCACTACAGGGGCCACGGCCTTCCGGGACAAACCTGGAGGGCCCTATTCACTTCGCTGGGACCGTAGGAACAACGATTCCTGGAGGAGTGTCGAGGATAGAAATCCTCGGACGCTGACTGATTATCGTACGAGGGGAAGAGAGAGACACGATGAGCCCTAGCGACGTAGGGACGATGAGATAGACCAAGACCACAGAGATCGCGAGCCGTTTGCGCGAGCAAGGAGGCTGGATGATTACCCGCGAAGCCCTCGCTATGAGGCCGGTCGGGGTAGAGGCGACTCCCGCGGCCGATGTGAGACAGATCAGGGCCGCCGAGATGGATATAGGGACGACAGATACGAGAGATCGGACCGAGATGGATATAGGGACGACAGATACGAGCGATCGGACTGAGACGGATATAGGGACGACAGATACGAGAGATCAAACCGAGATGGATATAGGGACGACAAATACGAGGGATCGGACCGAGACGGATATAGGGACGACAGATACGAGAGGTCGGGTCGAGATGGCTACAGAGGTGGTAGGTATGAAAGAGGAGATCGGAACTGGAAACGACAAGATGGGTCGCGCGGACGGTTTGAGCACGGGGGAGATGCGAGAGAGCAGCGCGACGAGTCGCGGGGATGGTACAACCGAGGGGACCGCCGGAATGATTCGCGAGGGCGGTATGAGCAAGGAGGGTCTGGAGGAGACCGCCGCAGCGATTCGCGCGGTCGGAATGAGAGAGGGGGATATGGCGTCTCATCAGAACCATATCGCAAGTCGCCTGACCCCAAGGCAGCCAGGAGTTCGATCTCGAGAAGCGCAGACGACAGGCCATCTACTCCCAGGAACTCATGCGTCTACAGTAGAGGAGAATATCATATCAAGAGGGATTGCCCGGACCTCAAACGGGCAATAGATGAGGGACTTATCGTGCTTGACGACCGCAAGTACGTCAAGTGGGCAGATGGTCTGGAAGATGTATCGATGTTCCCTTTGATGAAGGAGAATGTAGAAGCAAGGAGAGTAAAGCCGAGTGAAGAAAAGGAACTGGTCAGGAGCCAGAGCATCAAGATAACCTTTGAGGGGGATATCGCGACCACACCCATAAGGGTGGCAGCCACCAAGTCGTCGAGAGGGTCTACATCGAAGAAGACTGACACAGATTATGTGATGACGGAGAAGGACAGGCAGCGGGTCGATGAAGAGGAGGTTATCCTTTCGCCGCGAAAGAGGGGAGTGAAGAAGTTCTTAACGAAGAGTTCGCTGGACGAGATTGACACGGTCGAGCCAGTGAGGCGGGCCCTTCGGCAACCCATGCAGTGCTTTATTCTTGAGTACCTGGCGGCATCGAAGCCGGCTCGTGATGAGTTACAGATGATCACGCGGAAGACTCGCATACCTCTATCGGAGGAGGGTCAGGGGGCCCCTAAGGTGGAAGCTCCTACAGTAGCAGTAACGGGGGTGACTGTCACAGTCGATCGCATGGCGACAGCCCTTCTCGATGGAATGGAAGGTGTGCCTCCAGACAAGTTTTATATACTTGGTAGCGGGGCCGTGGAGACAATTATAAACGATGGAGCGATACTCGATGTTGTGATCGATAACGGCAATGAGGCTGTCATCATAGACGAGGACATGGCAGTACAGGTTGGACTGGGCCTCGATAGGTCATACCTATTCGAGATAGAGACGGCTGATGGGAGAAAGCAACAGATCACTGGGGTTTGTCACAAGGCAGCCATAGAGGTCCAAGGGGTACGAGTGACCCTGCCTGTCTTTGCAGTCAAGAACTGCAGCTCCGACCTGCTCTTGAATCGAACGTGGCTGAGCCACGTGCATGCGGTGACGATAGAGCGACCTGATGGGAGTCAAACATTGTCCATTAGGAAGCCAGACGGGACGCGGGTAATGATTGAGACAGTGGAGCCTCGGGACCCGAGGAACAGAGCGGCTCTTGCTGTGGGTGGGAGACCCAGTGAACAGATTAAGTCGTTACCTATCTCCGGTCGCACGGTGCAATTTCGCGAGAAGAAATATGGACCACTGCTCACAGAGGAAGAAGGTCGGATCGTGGAGGTGGAAGATTTAGGGAGTCGGCTAATAGTGGACGGCAACTCGTACCCAAAGGAAAAAGATGAGGAATTTGGCAGTGTGGTATCCGTGTCTTTTTTAAGGGCAAGGCCCCCTATGGGGGGTTACCCAAGCGACACAAGCGAGTAGCTCAAAAAGTTAAGCCAGCGGCGGTGGGCCGCGAGCGATCTGCACTGGAAGGGATATCGGAAGAAGAGATC